CCCCAGCAAAACAGAAATTTTGGTCATGTCAATGAAAAATATTGACAGTTATATATAGAAAGATATTTATAAGATTAAAAATTTTTCACAAGGTCTTGTGAAATTCCCATGTGTCATGGTAAGCTGGGGGCAATCAATACCTATTTGAGCTAGACGCTTACTTCACATGGAAGCTAATTGCACTGAGGGTTTTTTTTCTTTTTTAGCTTAAACTCAATCCAAAGCGTTCTGAATCTCTTCCCATGAAAAAAGTGAAACTGACTTTCTGTTGAAATAGTGGAATTCTCGATAATCTATCCAGATACTTAACATTTCTTTCAATAGTTTCTATATTTAATATTTTGAAAGATTTATTGTTTGAGAAAGAGGTAAAAGTTTTATTTATTTGTTTGTTTCAAATTCCTCTTCTGGCTGAACTTGTAAGGGGCAAAGTAAATTAAATGGGGAGAAAAGAGTCAATGAAGCAAATTCCTCACAATTACATTTATATCTCAGTGGAATTAGCTATTTTCCCATGTTTCAATGTAACCTCCACTTAAATAATACTTTTTCTCCTTTAATTAATGATAAAAGCAACTGCATTATTTTAATAGCAGTAATAATAACAATGGCAGAACCAAATTTAATATTTCCACCTTTCGATGATGATTTGTGTCTACTTTCATTTTGTTAAACTGATCCACATCAAACTTTGAGTTGATAATGTCAAATATCACGAGAAATCAGTTGTGTCAAACACAGCATATGTGATAAACAGTAACCCACTTTTTTCTTGATAGACAATGAGACAGCTGGGAAGTCTGCAAGGATTAAACACACTTTCTCAGGTAATCATATTTCTTATTGCAAGTATTCATGGTGGTGCTGGTGTTAATATTAGCAGCAGCATTATAATTCATCAAATTTATTTATGAATAGACAATATACTAAATATTGGAAGAACCAAGAAGTAAATGAGAACCTAAAACAAAATAAGATAGAGTGATAGGGAAAAATAAAAATAGTATTGAATTTTCTTTAGTTAAAAAAAGAATATTTTTGTGCATTATTAATTTTATTATATGGCACAAAACATAAGTGCTTTAAAAACCTAAATCTCAAACAAGTTTATGGAAATATTGCAGACTAGCTCAAAATGAAATTTAAGTTCATTGAAAGGAACAGTTTACCTATCCATTTGATTTATTTTTATTTATTATTTATTTATTTAGACAGAGTATCGCTCTGTGGCCCAGGCTGAAGTGCAGTGGTGCGATCTCGGCTCACTGCAACCTCCACCTCCTGAGTTCAAGTTATTCTCCTGTCTCAGCCTCCCGAGTAACTGGAATTACAGGCATCTGCCACCATGCCAGGCTAATTTTTGTATTTTTTAGTAGAGACGGGATTTCACCATGTCGCTAGACTGATCTCAAACTCATGACCTCAGGTGATCCACCCACCTCGGCCTCCCAAAGTGCTGGGATTAGAGGCATGAGCCACCATATCCAATCATACCTATCCATTTTAAATTAAGCAACACCACTTTTGCTTTTGCTATATTTACACTATCTGTTGATTTTTTAGAAAATGAAAACCAGACTGGGCGCAGTGGCTCACGCCTGTAATTCCAGCACTTTGGGAGGCCGAGGCGGGCGGATCATGAGGTCAAGAGACCAAGACCATCCTGGCCAACATGGTGAAACCCCGTCTCTACTAAAAATACAAAAATTAGCTGGGCGTGATGGTGCATGCCTGTAGTCCCAGCTACACAGGAGGCTGAGGCAGGAGAATTGCTTGAACCCAGGAGGCGGATGCTGTGAGCCAAGATCGCCCACTGCACTCCAGCCTGGTGACAGAGCGAGATTCCATCTCAAAAAAAAGAAAGAAAAGAAAAGAAAAGAAAACCAAATATAACCAATGTTATATTTAACATTTAAATATAAGCATGCCTTTTTTTATCCATGTCTTTAGTATTCTAGATTTGGCTTTGGGAAATCATTTAATTCTTTGTGGATGCACGGTCTCCTCCCACCACATTCCTCTCCTCCATGGATGAGGCCAAGGGAACATGAAACTCAACAGGTGAGTGAATAGCGTCAATATGTTTGAAACCTCAGGCTTTAAAACCTCTTCTTACTTGCCTTCCTTGAGTTGTGATAAATTAGCAATAGCCAAGTCCTAGCATTAACAAAAAATTATTCTCGTGCCAAATAAATCAAAGCCTATAACTGCTTTTAGTGTTTAAGAAATATTTTTAAATTTGAAACTATTTGCATATTTATTTAAAATAGGAAGATACAGCCTCCAAAATATGAGACCTATGTTAAAGATATTAGCAAACAATCCTCAAAAATCGAAGCAGGCTACACCCTGGACAATTTTCATTTGAATCAAGATTTCCTAAATAATTACTCAAAGCCTAATTTCAAATGATGACAATAATCCTGGTTAAAACACCATAGCCAGGTGCGATGGCTCATGCCTGTAATCCCAGCACTTTGGGAGGCCAAGGTGGATGGATCACTTGAGGTGAGGAGTTCAAGACCAGCCTGGCCAACATGGTGAAACCCCGTCTCTACTAAAAATACAAAAATTAGCCGGGCATGGGGGCAGGCACCTGTAATCTCAGCTACTCTCGGGAGGCTGAGGCAGGAGAATCGCTTGAACCCAGGAGGCAGAGGCTGCAGTGAGCCGAGATTGTGCCACTGCACTCCAACCTGGGCAATAGAGTGAGACTCTGTCTCAAAAAAAAATTAAGAAATTTAAAAAAATAAAACATCATGAACCCTACAGAAGTCAATAAATATATCAATCTGTTAACCATTATTGATTAGGTGCCTAATAAATACATAAACCAAATTGTGATTTGGTAGTAAAAGTGAAGACATTTACGAATGGCTCCAAGGATTGTGAAATTTCAGATAGGACAAGACAACATATTTCAAAGTGCTGAATTGTGAGATGTGAGCTCAGAGAGGGGTGAGGACTGGAGAGGCAAAGCAGAGCCCCGAATTGTTGTGAGACTTCCTTGCTGGTCTGAGGAGTTTGCAATCATTCTACAAATAATAGGGAGCCATTCGCCACAAGTAATTTCTAGAAGAAGCAACAAAACATGGTGATTTTAACAGGGAATTTTTTCATTTAATATATGGACTCAGAACCAAGATTAACAGGGAATTTTAGTTCCAGGTGGTCTTCCACAGCAGGAGCATTACCACGAGGTCCCATTTAGTAGGACAATAAATTATGTTAATGGTGACTGTTTCTTCACTTATTTCCAAAGTGAATTTCCATGTTGCAAGAATTTGATTGGCATTTTAATTAATTATGCTTTATGCTTTCATTAATTTAAAAAATATACTAGGTACTCACCATGGGCCAGGCACTTGTTAGGAGCTATGTTATGTACAGGGGCTATAAAGAGAAACAAGACATATCATTCTCTCTCCATAGACTGGGGGACAAAGATTTATAACAAATAATTACCATCCAATGAGAAAGTGGTAAAATAAAGATACAGATACATACAGACAGCTATGAGAACTTAGAGAAGGACATGTCTCATCCTACCAGGAGGTTCATGTAGCTTCACCTTCATGAGCAATGGTGGTCCCAAAGGAGGTAGGGGAGGCACACGCAAGACCTCCCCAAACAACATTAACACTAACTGGTGCTTCCTATGTAAACTCAACTTCAAGACAAGTCCCGTAGCCTCCCTTCCAGATAGAAAGTGCCCCAAGCCCCTTTGTTTAGAAATTCTAGGCACCGTTGTTTAATGAGCCATCCCTTCCTGACACTCTTTTCAAATTTCTCTGCAGTATGAATATTCTTTGCCTGTGCATCCCCCACCTCTCCCATCACAGCCATCCTTGAAGCCTCAACAGCCAGGACTGAAACCTTTCCTCCAGGCCGCTGCTGCAACCGCCGACGAGGCCACAGCACAGAAAGAAGCACTTCAGCCTCCAATTCACCTGGGACAGCTGCTCTTGCAGGAAGGAGAACTGCCTCTGGTTCAGCAGCAGGTGGCACCATCAGATAAGCCACCAAAGCCTGAGGTACTTCCTTTCTCTTGAAGTCAGATCAGAATCACCAGCTAACCTAATAGAAGAAAACTAATTTGCAGGGCAATTTTAAATAATCGTAGCCTTCAGGCATAATACATGATATAAATATATTCTTAATCAGTCTTCCATATCTGAGATTTATTTTTTGAGTAAAACATAAATATCCATTCCTATCTTTTGCCATCAGAGACAGGGCATGGATTCTAAAAGATCCTGTGCCTATAAAACTGGGTTTCTTAGTTGCAAAAGATGAAAACTTCCATAGGAAATAGAATAAAACCCCAGAGAAGTACAGGTTTCCTATCACTGGTCCTTTTTTTGGTGTTGGAAAGACTGAGAAAAGTGATTGATCCCTCAGCATAACAAGTAGGATTTTCCATTATTATCTGTCTGACAGAAAGGTGACAACTATGCAAAAAGTGTCCTGTAATAATATAGAGAAAAGTGTAATGGGTGAAAGAAAAGGAAGGTACCATGTAACCAGTATGTTGTGGGCATGTGTCATTCCCCCATATCATCCTGCCTACAATCCTATAAAAATACATATTATCAGTCTTTTTAAAGAAAGGAAGACAGACTTTGAGAAGTTACAAAATTGGCCCAGGAGTACACAAAAACTAAGTGGCAGAGCCAGGGTTCAAACCAGCCAGGTATGTTCCCGTTCCAAAATTCATTACTTTCTAATCTGCAAGAGATAGCAAAGCCATGATACATGTACCTCATTCCCCTGCCGGTACATTTGAGTAATGTTAGTAAAAGACCATTGCAAACTCTCAGGTCATACCTCCCAAAACACTGAAAGAAAGTAAAATAATGAAACTCATTTTGTTTTACTGTAATTGCAAACAAGATAATCATGTGATCAGTTCACTTTGTCAATTTTTTCATTTGTAATGTCACTTTGTCTATTTTTTTATTTTCTTGTTGTCTATTTTGTTAATTTTTTGACTGATAATTTTAATATTTATCTGTGATATAGCTCCCAGGAGCAGATGTTGCTGATCCACAAGGTCCACCAGTAAGTACAGATCTCAATGAGACACTTTCTGTATTTTTTTATTTGTTCACTTTGTCTATTTTTTATTTGTATTTGTATTTATCTATTTTATTCATTTTTATGATAATTTTAATATTTACCTATGATATAGCTCCCA